TCCCTGGATTGCTTTGCCACTCATCCCTAGTCTACTCCTGGAGGGATTTCCTTTTGAATAGGAGCCAGTAACCTGTGGCCTGCAGGCTAGATTCTGCCCTGAGAGCCATTTGATCCAGCCTGGAAATGTGGGACTTCAGCAGCATTCAGTGGTTGGGGGCTGTGACAGGAGTCACTTTCACCTGCCACCACAGGAAGGAGATCCAGCTATGGCACTACCTGTATTGTTGAAGGAAAAGCACAGGTAGTAGGTACTTTTCCTGGCTGCCATGCAGCCAGCAACTGCCTTCCCACCCACCTCTGACCCAAACTGGGTCACACTAGCCTGCAACCTAAAGACATTGCTGACCACTGCTCTGGAGATGGTAAAGGGGTAGAAGCTGTTCAGTCTGTGGTTTCTGTTGTGACTTCTGCCACATATCTCACAGTCCTGATGGCAGTGCGGTTTGTGGTGATGGGTTGTTTTGTTTTTATGTGGCTCCTGTCCTTCAGGAACTAGACTAAAATTTAATATGCTACTTAATTTTCACATGAGTAATGACTTCTGATAAATATGGGCCTTATTTGAAAGCAAATTGTTGATGCAGCTATAAAAGGTTTGTAATCCCGTTGTAAATTTATCATCTGGGTCATACAGCTTCTTAGACTGCACCATGAAAAAATATTCTAAGAGCAGTAAAAATTTATTCTTTCTGTGTGACAGAGTACAGGAGGAAGAAATGTGACAAATTTCTTACTAATAGATTTTTTTTTTCTACTTCTGGCCCACCTTGACAAAAAGTTGAGGCTGCCTACATAAGAAAGAACCGGCTCATTGCTGGTCATACAAGTTAAACAAAAAAACCCCAAACAAACAAACAAAAAAAGATAACACTGGGCTTCTTTCAGAGCCACTACAGACTTATTTCTATTTCCCTTTTTCATCTCCAGCAACTAGCTTTATTCACACAATCGCCTGATATGCACAAAATAGTCTTACTCTCCTCTGTCTTTTGATACTCCTAGAGTAAATCTCAGTAATGAAGAAATGAAGAAGGAGCTGGACTCTTCCCCTCTTTCTCTTGATGCAAATTCCTGATCTTTGCTGCAGGGAGTCCCACACAGCCTTCCTTATTCAGACTGGAGTGTGCACTAGACGTTTTTGGCTGCCAGAAGAGCTGGCTTTGATTTCTCTGTTGAAAGGATTTTTGAAGACCAGCAACTCTAGCCATGGGAGTGGCCCTTCTTTTCATAAGATATAAATGGATGCAGTATTGCACACAGTGTGGCTACATTAATGGTTACTGAACTTCGTGCTGAATGATTTTGTTGTGATTTTTTTTCCTTCTGAACCAGTCATCTTAACATTTGACAGTGCACAACTGTGGCTGTTTTCATTCACACACAGTATACTGATGAACCAGAAGCTGAGAACGCACAGGCTAAATACAGATAGTCAAAAAGCCTGAGGCTGAATCAGTTCAGTCTTTGCAGGTTAGTCTAAACTGCAGAGATTAAACTGAGAAACAACTGGATAGACATTCGCTCTTAATTGAGGAAATGCAGCCACTTACCTACAGTTGCTCAAGCCAGAAGCTGGGGAGCTCTAGAGCAGGGCTCTCTGGCAT